CTTAGCCATAGTGGGAGATGTTCCCGAGTGGACACGAAAAATCAAGTTCCTAGAGCAACGGCCTATATAACGCGCGCAGTTTACAATTTATACAGTTCGAGATGAAAATTCATCATGTTTTCCTTTGGAAACCTAGAACATTCAGATTACAGTATATGATCTACTTGATGCTATAAACAGGAATCATCAAGCAAGCATGATGACTTCAACGTGACTAGTAAGTGCATTACTAGTTGATGTGAGTGATTTCTAACCGCTTATATAGGTCATAAGCATATACTATCACGGAAGTATTTATTTTAATCCGAATGATTCAGACTTTAAACTGAATAACTTTGATGTGTTTTGAAAAAATACTTCTACTCTGTCATATTTGATATCTATCACACAATTTGAATGGTAAGTGTGGAAGAAATTAGCTTAAGTAGCTTTTCGATAATCACAGTCTCACGTCTGCATCCAACCGATCTTCATAAGTTTCAATGTTAGTGGTTATTGTTGGCTATTCTTCATGCATAAAAAGTTGCTGTTGAAGTTTTAAATATATATATATATATATATACATTTTCAGATTCAGTCTTTTAATTTAAATCTTTAAATGTCAGCTAACTCTTTCAATGTCACCAACTGGAAAATATAGTTATCTCCATTGCAGTACAGTGCATAAATCTGGGTATGTTCAGGGTGTTGTTAGAAAATACCAGTGTTTCTCAAACACACGGATTAGAATTAGTATTCTAAGCAGCCTCAGAACAGTGTAACACGGATCTATCTGACTCAATCCGTTCTTCTTACTTGATATATTTTACAATAACATTGGTTGAATGGGATTATGTGCTTTTCTGTGATAATTAAGAAATTAGAAAGAGCTTATGGAATCCGTTTCTGCTCGTTTTCTTTTATTCTTTCTCCAGTCTCATCGTCACACCACAGAATCATCTGCCTCTTTTTGGATAGTTCTCCACCTTCTAGGATTCATATCTTCCCGATTCTTTCGATAATTTCTTCCCATGGTGCTGTGGTTCATGTAAATTCCATCGACGTACATCTGAGCTAATTTCTGTACCGTTATTCTGGTTTGTATAATTGTAAAATCTTTAACAAGAAGTTAAACCAATGAACAAGAACACATTATAGGCGATAATACAAATGCAGTAAAAAAATGTTGGAGTTTACTTTGAAAATTGACGAGAACACTAGAACATTTTGTGTGGAAAGTGAGAACTAAATTATTTCGCCAAGAATCACGGAAAAAAATATTGATTTGTCTGGACACATCGGCTTGGGTATGGTCTTTTTCAATCCATCATGCATTTTGACCTCAGAAGAGGTTTTCTAGGCTTTGAATTAGTATCACGAAGTTTCTGCTAGCTCATTCTGTAACCAGTAGCTTTGTTTGCGTCCTGAGAAAGGCTAAACTGTTACAAGTGAGGTTAACAGGAAATCTAGATGTAATTTCTTATTACAACGATTGCCACTCAGATGGGAATGTTACTTTGCCTGTGTTATCAGCCTTCATACCATATGTGGTTTCAAACATATTACATGAATAATCCTAATCTGAACATTAATAAAGACAAAAAACCTGAACGCCGTACAAAAAAGAGAATCATTCACCCACTTCTACTATCCTGTTACAACCTTGTCGTTTTCAACCAACTTGAGTTTCGTTGATTATTATTAACCCTTTATAATTTTTGTAGTAATTTCGAATTATTGAGTGGTAACACAATTTCCTTCGTTTCTATGCACATCCTGATTACAACTCACTAACTAGGTGGTTTATCCTACTACGTAACTCTAATATCTCTATTCAACTCCCGCTGTATATTGACCAATATTAGCAACTATGATAAGTCACCACTTTTGTTACTGTCCTCTTTTGTAAAAACGTTGTATATAATTGCGACTGCACAGTTAATGAAAATGAATCCGCCAGAAAGATCCTCTTCACTGAAACAAACATTCAGCCCCTTAAAGTATGTCTGGCGAAATTTCACGTGGGACGTTTTGTTTTTTTGCAAGTACTTGATCTCCCTTCATGTACTGTCAATCTGACAAATTAGTCAATGATAATTTCGGTGGAATGAACAGTTCTCAAGCCCAAAGATACATTTAATAGACCTGAATTCAGATGCATGTGGCTAACTTATGATGTTTAGGTGACTTCAGTCCTGTAGAGTGCTGGTTTAAATGTCATCGACTGACTTATCAAATCATCAGAACATACAGTCTGATATAAATAACTAGAGAACTAGACTAAGTAGACAAATAATCATTTAGTTGTGTTAGTTATTTGTCTGAATCGTGTAATGTATTTGCGCACACCACATTTCAAACAATCTGATCACTCACAGACTTGTCATAGGAATATATATGCAATTAATAAAGAGTTAAGAGGTGAGAAAATAAACGTAGGTCAAGTTAGAAGGGCATATTGAAGGTGACAATAACAATGAAGATCACTAAACCAAATAAGAAATAGGTAATAGTACATCTGCTATAGTATGAAAACAAAGTTTACCAAAGAAGATAGGTTTAGTGTGATGACGAATTGTTTTTGAATGCATGAAGGTGATTTAAACTTCCTAATTGCTGGCAATGGATTCCACAAACTTTAGGATACGCCCCAAATACGTTTTATAGATAGGTTTAAAAAACGTAAACATCAATTTTATCTCCAGTCTCTATAGTATGTTTCGCAATAGAGGAGCTAGGTCGTCTGTTCTCACCATTAATGGGTTCTGAGGGTTCTATTTGCTGCTGTATGTGTGGCTACAGATACTTAAGGAGAGCTCATCGATCTCTTCAAGTAAGGGCTTAAGAGCATATTCCTAAGTGGCTTCAGAAGCAAATAGAATCCTCAGAACCCATTAATGGTGAGAACAGACGACCTAGCTCCTCTATTGCGAAACATACTATAGAGACTGGAGATAAAATTGATGTTTACGTTTTTTAAACCTATCTATAAAACGTATTTGGGGCGTATCCTAAAGTTTGTGGAATCCATTGCCAGCAATTAGGAAGTTTAAATCACCTTCATGCATTCAAAAACAATTCGTCATCACACTAAACCTATCTTCTTTGGTAAACTTTGTTTTCATACTATAGCAGATGTACTATTACCTATCTCTTATTTGGTTTAGTGATCTTCATTGTTATTGTCACCTTCAATATGCCCTTCTAACTTGACCTACGTTTATTTTCTCACCTCTTAACTCTTTATTAATTGCATATATATTCCTATGACAAGTCTGTGAGTGATCAGATTGTTTGAAATGTGGTGTGCGCAAATACATTACACGATTGGGGCAAATTATCTATTCTTATTGCTTTCTCTAAATTCATAAAGGGAACTAATTTTCTTTTAATTGTTTAGTCGGGCTAACGGTCACTTCACGTTCTGATTGATTACAGATGGCTTCATGTTATATGGATAACGATCAGTTGAGCTAGAGATTGTTGAGCTAGTAAATACCAGGATTCAACGCAACCCGTCAGTGGTTACTTATAACTTTTTAAATCGTTCCAAGCTTCAGATTCGCTACGTTTATATTAATGAGAGAATTTTTATAATGAAGTTATCTACTGACTTAAAATCAATTCAAGATTTCAATAGTTACTCTATACTAATTTGTTTAAATACAACATTGAAAAGAATAATGTTAACGACAGGCACATAAAATTATATTTATTATTTAAATATATATATATATAATATTATTCGTAATACTTTGTAATAGGTAGTGTTAGGGTAGTAAATTCTCTTCGACATTATCCATTGACTTGTGCTGAGAAATAATAATTAATATAACCGGTAAACAGTACAAGTTGATATCTTCTCAAGATAGATAATTTAATTACTTAAAAGTAGATAAATACTGTCTTCAAATGTAAAAACCTGATTACATTTAAAGGTTAATAGACTTATTTTGATAATAAATCAAAATTAATGTAACATGAAGACTTGGAGAGAGAAATTCAACAAAATGAATGGATCTTCAGTAGGATGTTTAAATACTTCTTAATAAAAAAAAAGAGAAAAGACATCCATGCAACCGAATTCGTCATTTGTGTTTCAAGAGATTAGAAAGTAAATTCAAGGATAAATAAAGTGATGTGTTAGTAATAGTAATAATAATAACGATAATATTCCTGTAATATACATTTTGTTTACTGATATAAATTTGTGCGCGTAACTTAATGTATTATGCTATGCGTATGCATGAATGTACTCATGGATAACTGTTATTATGGTTAAAATATGGTCTTTGTGATAACAATGAGAAGTAGATGAGAGAGAGAGACATTTTTGTTATTGGTTACTTTGATAATCGTACAGGCTATCACAGAAGGGCTTTGCCTGGGACTGATTACATAATTTCATCATAATATCAATTCATGATGACATCGTATTGTACAAGGTTTATGAGTAGGAATAAAGAGTAGTAGTGTATTTTACTAATAATAGTAATAATAACAATATTGATAACATAATTGTAATATTTTGTGATAACTTGTAGTTCAGGCAGGAGGGAAGGGTGGAAACTAACACTCAGGGTGAATATACATCATTCTGAGTCAAATGCCCACTAACAAGCTTATGTGAATACATACATATATACCGAAATACAAAATACTTAGTATTGGTGATTTGAGGCTCTTGAATGTATGTGAATATTATGCAACAACGTGAAACTACTAACTATAACTATTAAGTAGTGTAAAAAGCCATGTTGAAAAAACCAGAAGTATACATGAATTTGTGGATTGTTTGGTCATGAAATGACTAGTTTGAAAATGATTTGCTTTTTGTTTAATGAATGAGAATTGTTTAAATTCCGAACTTGTTGTCTAAAACGCAATAAATCATATATTTTGGTGTGGTAATTATTGTCTGAGGTTTTATAAACAATTTGATGAATAACAGAAAGGAACAAGGTGAGTACGATTATAGTGTAGTCTTAAAAAATATCATCAGTGTTGACTGGTGCGCTTTGCTATGGTTTTTGTTCGGGTGTTGCACCAAAATCTGTTCCCAGGCCTAAAAGATCACCGAATTCTGTGGGACCTGTTTGATTAGCCTCTGTTTCATTAGATTTAAGTGATGTCTGAGTATCATCTACGACGTCATCACCACCATTGTTGTTGTTGTTGTTGCTGTTATCAAGGCTAATTTCTTCATAGTGACGATTTGCTTGTCTTTGTTCACTAGATTTTTCATATTCAACTGGTGTATCATCGTCTAGAAGAGATTTTATAACAGGTTCTTTTCGACTACCCAACTGATAATCAATATCCACTGTATATTTATATTTTGTTAGATATTTGACAAATTTCTCTACATTTCCTGTATGCTCTACACTGATTGAACGTACTGTGGCACCGGACACTGTACTTGATGGCATAGTATATTCAACTTGACAATGTGGAATTAACGTTTCCCACTCAGGTACTGTATCATGAGCAGCCAATACCAAATTACAGGTTAATAAATGGGGACGAAATGATGCTAAAACATTGAAAGAAAAAATTAAACAAAAGGACTGTTTAGTGAAAAGAAAACTAGATGGTAAATTTAAAAATAAACATTTTCAGAAAGCCGGCAAATTCGGAAAGATATCTAGACTGCAATTCACCACACCCCTTTACCACCAAAGTAACTATGGCCAGGAATCTGATTAATAGGGGCAAACGTCTAGTTACTGAGGAGCAAGAGATCATCAGGGAACTAATATTGGTTCAATCCACTCTTGAATCTAATAATTATCCCAAAGCCTTCAGAAAAAGATATTTAGAATGTAAAGATAAGGCTGGATCGAAGCCTGTTGTTAAGAATTGGGTTAGTACAGCGGTGATTCCTTACCACAAAGTAACATCGGATGAAATAAAGCGAATCCTTAACGATCATAACATATGGGTGTATTTTCATGAAACAGACACCTTATGATCATCGCCGGTGAAGGTTAGGGATAAAATAGAGGAAGATGACCAACGGAATTGTGTGTTCCACATCAATTGTCGGGACTGTGATACCGTATATGTAAGAGAAACTTCCAGAGAGTTAAATATAAGAGTGAAAGAGAATAAACAGTGCCTAAAGGTGATTCCAAAGTCCTCTGCAGACTTAAAGAAGCTAGAAGAGAAATCAGCGATTGCACTACATTCAATAGAAACGGGACACAAAATCGACTTTGATAGGACTAAAGTCTTACAGAAAGATTTTGGTCCGTATAAAGAAAGACTGACTGCAGAAGCCCTGCATATATGGGTGAATCCCAACAGTTTGAACAGATGATGCTAGCTGATGCATGGCAAATCCTGATGAATAAATAAAAAGTGGATATGTATCACTAATTAATCATACTTGCTCTAAATTCCTGATTGTCTATATTTTCTTATGGAGAGGCTAACAAATGTCTGATGACTGTTTACCCACATACACACACCCCATTGTATACTGCATATACACATGTATTTTCATATTCAGTTATCTATGACGGTTAATGAAGTCTGATGAAAAGTACACTCTGCTTAAACTGTCTAACAAAAGTAGACTAATTAAATTGAATTTCAGATTTTCCCGTCGATTGATTGGACCGAAGTGCTTGGTCTCAGGTGACATGTCGGCTTCTTGTGCAGATGCTTTGACGATGTCTAGGCATTTAATTAGTATTTAACTGGTGGATGGTGACTAGCAGTGGAAACCAGAATGCGCATTTCGTCCTGTTTGGGACTCGTCAGCTAGATGTACCTGCATTCCAATTTTGAAAGTCTGAGGACAAATTTTAATCACAATTCATAGAGTTTTGTTTATTATACATGTTGATACCTGTTTCATGACTCATATGGTTGGAAAAAGTTTCAAAAACAAGAGATGTTCCCTTTATATATAAACCTCTGTTATGTTAATTTCGATTAATTTCCCTGAAGAAGTTCGGACAAGTCTGCTGAACGAAATGTTGGAATTAATCATTTCAATTTCGCTGAGATTTTACAAATGTCTACTTCTCACTCGTCAAATCTTGATCACAATTCATATGAAAAGGAAAATATATTATATGATTCACAATAAAAGGTTACCCTAAAATTCTCATTTATGTATGTTTGCAAAAATGCTGTTTTCATGCAAATGCAAATGGAATTCTGACACAACACTGTGATTTCTTAATGTCAAGATTTAGTTCACATGAATGAAATTGAATATTTAAATGACGGAAACATCTGAATAAGTTGCTCTTCTGCCATCTTATCGAGTATCTCTTAACTACTCTGTAATTAAAGTTTTATACATAGTCTTTACAATATTAAACACCCTGTCATTATGTTTTTAGTTCATCAGAAATGCTTACTTTAGGTATATTAACTACATTGACTACGATATGAACCCGAATAAGCTTATGTGAATATTCTCCTAACTTCATTCTTCTTTGGTAGAATATCTAATGATAAACTTGTATTACTGTAAAGTCCAGTTTCCAGAAAAAAACGTAGGCTTAGAGTGCAGTAAACGTCTATGAGTATCTACAACTAGGATAACAGCTTTTCGCCATCACATCTGGTTTCTGAGAGAATTATAACCATGTTATGTGTACAATGGTGTCAGTAGCACAATGGCAGAATTCTCACCAACCGCACATGTGGTCCGGGTTCGGCCTCAGGCCGACGCACCCTTTACCTCCCTAAGCCGTTAATAAGACCGTTAAAGAGGGGAGGTTGGGTATGAGGCTAACAACCTCATCCCGTAAAACAAACACCCCTGCTATGGAAACTTCAAAGCTCTAGCTTGATGCCCTATGTTCCACTGGGAACGTAAAGAAATAAAATAAATAATAATACTTGTACAATATTTACTTAAAAATATAATTGAGGGCGTAATCTCAACAACAGTGAATTACGTTTGCTAATCCAAGAGAGTGATAATCACCTCAAATTAGAATCAGAGGTTGTATATCTTCATAGACTTTTCTTGCATTTCATTTATTTGAAATATACGCTATTCAAGATTATATATGGTATTCGTTGGTTGAAGAAGAACTTATATTTGTGCTACTTCTAACATCTATTGTATAACTAATATACTTTTATAATTTTGATTGGATCCTAGTCAGTAACTAGTCTGATGTGTCTAGTCCTATCTTCAGTGCAAACTGAATTCTATCAGTCCAGTTTGCAATGTGGCCACCATACCAGGTGCCTTGCCATCACGGTACACTATGAGTTGTTCGTGTTAGATGGTTAGAGGCGATCGGCCCCAGGAACCCTTGGATACCATCTAGGTTTCATGCTAGTTGGCACTCGTCAGCAAGGTGTATCTGCAACCTTGAAGGAGCTCATGTCCCTTCTGAGATTCGAACCCGCGTCACCAGCGTAACAGTCAGAGATGTTACCACTGAGCTATTCAGGCTCGCGATTGACCTTTTGCCGGACTGTAGGGACATGAGTTCCTTCGAGGTTGCAGATACGTCTTGCTGACCAGTGCCAACTAGCACGAGACCTAGGTCCAAGGCTTCCTGCCTATTGCCTCCAACCATCTAATACCGAGAATACGTTTATACTGTTATGATGGTTAAAACAGATCACAGTAGGCTGTGATAAGACGATTAAAAGTAATTTGTTTAACACAGTTTTAATCACAAGTGGACAACAGCCCTACAATCGCTAACAGCCTAGAAAGTAATACATAACTGAATCGTCCCTGCCGGGGACTCTTTAGTAGTCCGTAGTCACAATGTATAATCTGGAACTTGATGCCCTCTGTGTGTGTGCACTATACAGTTGCCACTAGTTATCGATGATTCTTGACTTGAGAAATAGTTCATGACAATTTGATTCTGTTTATTACCTTTAAAACTAAATGATGCAAGACTAATCACGAAACTGGCAACTCAAACCCAAATGAATAGCATCTTTGTCTGTAATAGTATGTATAAAACATATTTCTGAACATCGAATCTAAAATCCTTCATTTTCTAAGCAGTAAATGTCATCATAAAGAGAATCTAAGTGCCATGATATTGTGATTTCATTTCAATACACTTTTAATCCCTCAAATGATAAACTGTAGTTGTTTCAGGCCGCTATCTTTTAATTTTATTGACAATGTACAGCAACTACATGTTTACTGAATGTCTAATTTTCAAAATACTTAGGTAATATGCATTTCTGTTTAAAATTTAGTCTAGTATATACCAGTTAAAAATGACTTACCTTCAGACTTTTCAGGTACTCTTGGTATACGCCAAACTATGGCTTTATATAGATGCTCATATTTTGCAACACCGATACTTGCCTCCAGCATACTAGGCGGTAGGAGACTTTGAGCCATTTGTGTAATTCTTTCAAGACCTTTAATTTTACCCGGTTTACGTAATGTAGAATGTACAGATCCATATTTGTGGTGTTTTTCAACACGAAAATGATATATCCATTCCTCTGGAAATGGTATGTGTATTTCAACTTTTTCACATGGTACAGCACCAGATCGTTTACTAGCACTGAAATAACCTGGAACTAATAAATCACAACGCATTGAAACTCTACGTCCATCAATTGTATAGGTAACTTTCACTTGCATTGGTAATTCTCTATTTCCACGTAGACTAACACGAAATCGTAACAGTTCAAAACGACAACCGTCTAATGGAAAGAACTGTAACATATGATCTTTTTCATATTCTTCCATTTGTACACAAGAATGGAATTCAGGATTACGTATACTTATCCAATCATCATGCATTACTGGTAGGATATCACAACGTCGCACGACTTCTCGACCAAAACGCCATTTATCATTTAATCCAAGTACAATATGTGGTCCCCCATTGACAAATGCTGTACAAAATACTCGAGTACGGGCCTTCTGTTCAACTATTGTCCCGTTAACGTTTAATTTACCTTCATATTCGTCTACGACGTAACAACAAACCTCTTCACGACTGTAATTTAAAGACGTGTCTTTATGTGATGGTATTTTCATTAAGGCGTCTTCGAATACTGGCATCAGCCTACGAATTCTTGACTGATCTAGTGAACCAAATTTTAATATCTCTGTATATATGGGTATGTGATCGAGAGTAATATTTTGCTTCGGTTTATGGCTAACCAGATTTTGTAAATTTTTAATAGAAAACTTCTCCGGCCTCATACCAACTAACTCCTTGTACGATACATGGTTAAGTTTGAAGACGTGTAATTTACCATACTTGTCGTATTGTTGTAATTTCTCTCTTGACAACTGCATGTATGGTTCAATACGAACTGATCTATAAGGTTCTGGCAATATTTCATTTGTATTTTCATCTATACCAAAAGGTTTATCACTTTGCGACCGTGTTCTTCCACCAAGCGTATAGCCACTTCACGCCAGTATCTGTCGGTTGTATATTTACTGATTTGTTTAACACGTGTTTTCTTCTCTGGGTATCTTAACCACAAACGCCAAGTATCTTCTGTATTAACGAATGGATGAAATGGTATGTCTAATTCAGGATCTGGGGTTTCTGGTCTTGGAGGTTCTGGGTATGATGGTTCTGCCTTACCCTTTTCTTTACCTTCCCCTTCTGGTGGCCACTGGACTTCAAATGCTTTATCAATATCATCTTTATCAAGTTTGAAAGCCTCGACATTAGAAGAATCGTTGTGATCAGCATTATCATCGTCAACGAAGTCAACCCATCCAGGTGGTGTAGGAGGAGACTCTTTTAGTTCTTCAGTAGCATGGACTTCATTGTCTTCTCCATTCATCGCTGTCATTTGGTTATCTTTTCCACTAGTATCAATGTCTAAATCAAGGGCATTTGTCGCTTTTACTTGTTGTGGTGGTGGTTGTATAGTGAATGTTGCTTTATTTTCTTCCTCTCCTTCTACTACTGTTGATTTATTAGTAGTCTGCTTATCTTTCTGATTAATTTTTACATGTAGAGTTTTAGATTCATTAGAATCAGATGAATTTTCATTTTCATTTTCACTATCTGGATAAATAGTTTGCAAGGGGTCGAAACCGTCTGGATCCACATTTATATTTTCAATAGTTTGAAGAACTTCAACATTTTGTAGTATATCTCTTGCCACCTCATCCTCTACGCTATTATTACTATCGAAACTATCTTTCATTTTACTGATTTTATTCTGTGGACTAATCAACTTTATTCCAGCCGCCACACGTGTAAGTTCATCTGTAGGTATATCTGTATCATCGGTAACAGTAATAACAGTACTCATTACATTTGTTTCATCAACACCTGAACGTTTACGAAATGGATTATTACCTGACAAAGTTTCCTGTCTAACTGGTTTAACACGTGGTCTAGCGATAGTTTTTAAATCATCTATACTTATTTTACGTTCATTTAGATAAGGCTTATTACTATCAGCTGTTGTGGACGTCACCGTTGAGAAGTCTTGAAAGGCATCATCGCTAAATGGGTTGCTTTCTTCTGTGTCTTGTTGTTTTTGTTTTTCAGTGGGGTGTACTGTATGATCATAATCTCCAGTGTCTGAAACATCATTATCATAGTCATAGCCACCAGAGGCAGTGACAGTAGTAGCGAAATCTAAATTATCATAGCTTTGATGATATTCTGAACCAGTTTCACACCAATTCCACTAAGATGAATTCCTGTTTCTTCTTTTAATTCCTCTTCGTTTTCGCCGACATCTGTATGCACCTGACCATCATAGGAGGATGTCTCTGAACTTGAATGACCTGTAATATTTACATCGAGATCATCATTCTGTTCATACTGCACATGCATATCAGGGTCAATAGTGTTGTCATTCATTGTCGTCTCCACTAGAGGATTAGACAGAATTACTTTACCATCAGCTATGTCATCTGATTCGTTCACTTTATCAAACTCCATACTTGTAAAATTTAACGTTGAAGTATTTTGACTACTGAAATTTTTATAAGTAGTATATTCTTCTTCGCTATTAAGCTGCCTGAAATTTGTTGGTAAGGGACTGTTTGACTGAGAAGAATCCTGTTCTACGAGATTTTGTGAATTATTAATGGGTTGGAAATTACTCTCAGTATCCTGAATGTTAGTATGCTGTGTATGACTTGAATTAATAATGTGTTCAATATAGTTATCAGATGAGGGTGAGGGATAATCACAACCGAAGAGGTTCTCAGTAGTTCCTGAACGATCAACTACAAAATAATTATCACTAGATTCCAACTGGTTTAGATCTCCTAAAATATTGGTAGGCGTGGAATGAAACTCACTAGGATTTTCAGTTGTATCAAACTTATCTGTCTGATTATATTCTACTTTATTTCAGGTAATTCTGTCTGACTGAAACTAAGTAAGTTATCCACAGCGACTGAGTAATGATTACTGCCTGAAATGATGCCAACTTCTAGTTGTTCAGTAGCAAAAAGATCTTCAGTCTCCTTGAAATTATAACTGTCAGACACGTCTCCAATCGCTCTTGAATAAGAGTTATTTTGTGGAGAGTTTGACTGAGTGATGTCTATCTGTTGGTCGAAACTGTCAGTGTTATCTAACTCAAATCGATTCTGATCAGTTTGTATATGCTTTAATTCCTGAAGATTTTCACTGTCTGTTTGAACAAGATCAGAGTGATCCTTTACAATCCGTGTTGCAAATAAATCTTCAAAACTATCTTCGTGTTCACTATGATCTATGCCTTCAAATGTTTTTTCCTGGCTGTGTCTAGAAACGTCCTCAGAGATAGCGTCTGACTGTTCACAGCTATTGAAAAGATTATACGTATCCTTCGATTCTGTGTTCTCGTTGAAAATACTTGTCTGAGTACAAGGTAAACTATCTTTGGTTTCAACTAAGTTGAAATTTGCCCAGTTCTCGTCAGCAGTTGATGTACCAGAGTGATCTTTATCACTGGATCGCAGTGCGTCAAAATCTGCCCAGTTTTCACTGAAATCTTCAGTTACTTTTGGATCAACTAAATAAGTAGCTTCCACCTGATCGAAAGCAGCCCAGTTATTTTCTTGTTCAGTTTGTATCAAATCAAAAAGCTGATCAGCTGTTTTTGCGTTCTCAAAATCAGCCCAATTAGAAATATTACTTTCGTCTTGATTTACGTCTTTTACTGTATCAAATTTAGCCCAATTATCGTCAGTTTCTGTAGAAGGGAGTTCAACACAGATATCTGTTGTGATAATCGACTGATTGAAGTCTGCCCAGTTGTCTTCAGTAGATTTTGTATTATCAAAATCTGCCCAATTCTCAGTTGTCTGTGATTCAGGACTTATACCAGCTACTGCCTGTTCTGTGGACGAATTATCATCAACAGTGTATAATGATGATAACGCTTTGATTTTACTTGTTGACTCTTCAACAGTACTTTGGATTCTAGCAGTAAGTTCTTGAAATTCTTGCCAGTCTTTTGAATGAGATGATTCAAATTTCACAGGTAGTTCAGTTCGATCACTTGCACCTTTTAATAAACGATTTAACTCTTGTTGTTCCTTTCTTTGACGACGTTCTGCTTTGGTTTCACCACGGATAATACGCTGTAGTGCTTTTTTAGGATTTGGTAAAACACTTTTCTCAAAATGACTACGAAATGGAAAGTTTGGATCTGGATCTGTCGGTAGAGGTCCTAAAGAAAGCAGAAAAGAAGATATAATTCATTATAAAGTTTATAAAACACAGGATCTATACCATACTTTGATGAATACTTTACAGACAAAAACGATTTAATGCGAAAATATCTCCTTTAAATAATGTGTAGCACAATATATCTATAAATTGCATGTAAAATTAATTGTCTTTTAGCTATGGATTACTTTGTCAAATCTTACACTGGTACGTTTTGATCATCATCTGCATAAATCGTCCACATTTTTGGTACATTCCCCGAGGATGTATAAACATCAATGATATATCCTGTCGTCAGGTTTCATCATAACTATAACCCTAGAAATCGAAATGACGATTTAGATCTCAGATTTATCCTAGTCTAGATTTGTGTGTAAGCAGTTTATATTTATCCTTAGGGTAGATTGTTTTTAACGACACAAAATACTTTGCAAATGAATGCAGACCCATTTAAACTGCCCATCATCAGAAAGCGCGGTATTAGTTACTCCCTAACGAATATTTAATGCACACAACCCAGTTCTACAGAAGATAAATGTCTATCCCAATATCTTAGTGGCAGTACCTCTAAGTCTGTCAGTGAATAATAAGGGTTGAAATCCAAGAAAGGATATCAATTCCTTAGAGGCAGTAGGTACTCCTTGTTGATGACTTCTAGTAAACAAGAAACCTGGGACCAGAGCCTCTTTCAGTACACCTCTATCTACTGAAATAAAATCACAGTTGGGGGAGTATAATAATCGATGGAAAAACAATCTGAATACTGTGTCTGTAAGAAAATTTGAACCCACACACTCACAAGATTATATTTTTCGATTAAGTCAACAATAAGAAACTGTGCTATACAGGGGAACATCACTTAAAGACTTGTACAGCTTAAGTATGCATCAATTCTCGATCATAAAGGTGTTAGTATGGTAAACCCAAAGAATAATAATACATGCATGTTAACAGCAATGATTAGAAATCCATGAGTGTTAAATTATTATTCCTATTATCAATTTCTATTTACAAACAATCTGTTAGTACTGTCTTTTCTGTTAAAAGAATTACTTTCAGACATTTGGTATTGTTTGACCTATTATATGTAACCAAAATACACATGATATTACTCGATTCAAAAGTTCAGAGAAGTGATTAACTCCTGAGTTTTATAGTCTTTCAGTAAGCCTGACGTTCTAGTGGAAGCCTTGACCAGTGGGGTACAGCAGGTTGAAGATGAGGCAGTAACTCATCGAAGAAAACATTGCGAAATGGTCGCGCTATATCGTGAATTGGCAGAAGTTAGAATTCATGAACTGGCCATTGGAATGGGTCCCAGTGGATCAATGGTCTACAAGCTCGCTAGCCTTGTAACCAGAAGGTCCTGGGTTCAAACCCCAGTGGGTGCTGTGAAGAGTCCCATACCAGGACGAAACGGCTGTCCAGTATTCCTAGGTTTTCCAGTGGTTCTCTAATGATGTCAGCTCATGATGTACTCCTCCATCCCTAACTAAAAAAAACTGAAATACAGTCAAATGTTCAATATTATCAACACTCTGAAAGATACTACCTTGGCTTTAATATAAACTACCAGAAAACTAGGAAAGTAGAAAGTTCAAGGACTAGACTGCCTATTTACTGAGACTTATCAGCAAGACATACCTGGTATGTAAAAGGTATTGTTATTTCTTCTGAGCCTCAAAGCTTTTTCATTCAGTGTTGAAGCGCAATTTTCAGCCAATGTGTTAATTAACCGTTTTGTCATGTACTATCTATAAATTGGATTTCATCAGACCATATTTAAAATAAGACGCTTTTCAAATGAATTTGTGCTTCTAATCAGAAATGAGCTATGAAAATATTTTGTTGATTAACATTCTACAACTTCGATAACAACTGCATTCTAAGTATTGTACACTTTCCATGTTTGTCCAGTTGACGAAGGTTAGGTTAGTAACTTTTTCTACCTTACTCAAACCTTTGAAAGTCAAAATTAAACCTAATTAATGTCTCTGGTCTAAAATTCATAACATGTCACATTAGTTTAGCTTTTTCTTTACACAATAATTTTTTGTAAATTCCTTTACATTCCCAGTGGAACATAGGGCTTCAAGCTAGAGGCTTGAGGTTTCTGTAGCAGTGGTGATGCGGTTGCTAGCATCATGTTTAACCTTCCCCTTTACCAATCTTAATGCTGGCTTACAAAGGCAAAGGAGTGCATGGGCTGAAGATTGACCACGGATCAACTGCGCGGTCGGTGATTCTATAACTGAAATCACTTATGGGATAGTCCCGCCTTGTGATAAATTAAATTCCAACGAATCAGACAATCTAATAATAGGAATATCTCAGCAATACTATCAGGAATGGTAAATGATGCTACCTTTGGAGTGTTCAACTATACCGATAAGTGGTTTTCATCAGGAACTGACATCAGAAAATTACAAGAAACAATAATCACTGGATAACGAATTTCTTCCAGTGTAGGGCTTCAGCACTGACTGTCTAAAATCCTGTGCCAGTTTGAAGCAAGAATCATCAGTTTCATGAATTCGTTTTGAAACAGAAAAGTTATTTAATTTCGGATAGACTATATTATAACTTAGTTAGACAAAAATGAAAAAGACAAAAATCTCAAAGTTATATTGTCTGAATAAGTCATTCACTAAAATCACCTTGGTCTATTGCGTTAGTTCTTAAGTCAGACGACATTCCATGAAATCTCTGCATTATATTAGTATGTGTGCCATATAACTATCATCACATATGAGACTTTAAACCTTTTTCACATTAACCACAGTTTAGTAGTTATTAAACAAATAACTCCTGTAAAATTACCAAGTTCACCCCTAAAGCTTCATAGAATATACTGCAATGAACTATTCTGATTTATAACATCGCAAATCAATACCCAAACTTTTGAAAGAGTTAGATTTATCAACCAGACACTTTCATCTAAATTTATACGATGTTCCTCCGTATGACTTTTGTCTTAGTGCAGATGATTACTTATTTTGTGTATCACAGACTAGAAAATAAGCTGAAGAAAATCCTACTGGCAATGTTAAATTGTTTAAGGAGAAGTAAAACAAACATCCATCTAGATTCTTTACATTATTTACTATGTTTATGATATAAAGAGTTATCATGAGGCCTTGGCTCTTGATTTTCTGCTTGTCAGAACTTATCTGTAAGTTTTAGGCAAAATATTGTGTAAATTCACCTCCCTACAAAAACTGAACCATTGATAGTCTCTCATATGAACAGCTATTCCGTAATAGTTTAGGACTCTTAATCAATACTCACCCAACCAGTGGTTTAATGGTCTACGAGCTCTCCTAGTAACCAGAAGATCCTGGGTTCGAAAATTGGCGGTGGGTGTGTACTGTGAAGAGTCCCAAACTAGGAAGAAACAGTTGTCCAGTACTCCCAGGTTTTCCAGTGATTCTCTGACTGATGTCAGCTCATGGTGAAGTCCTCTATGCAATCAGACAAAATGCCTACAAAACCTATAATTGATAATTCAGAATAATTCATAGAAGTTAAGAAAGTATAGCTTTAAGTTTACTTTATTATTATTGTTCCTTTGGGTTCCTAGTGGAACATAGGGCTTCAACTGCACGTCTCCACTTGCCACTTCTGTCTTCCTTCTGCTGTACTTTTCACCTGCATCCATGTTAGCCCATACTCTTTCAACTCCTATTCACACGATCTCCTCCATGTCACCCTTGGACGTCCCACACGCCGCTTCCCTTTCGGCTTCCACTTGAGGGCTTGACGCGCGATGTCACCCAGCGGTCTCCTCAGCGAGCGAGTGTCCAATCCATCCATTCCACTCTCTCCTGCATATTTGTTGGTTGGCGACTCCTTCTTGTTTTGTTTGTTCCCAGCCAAAGTTTCTTGCTGGTGATTCTTTCCAGCCCGGCCGGCCGGCCATCTGATCTTCAGTATAGATCCAGCGAAGACAGTTGTTGGTTGGTAAAGGTCTGCAACAGGCTGTTGAAAATATTCTTTTGTGACCCGCCAGCCAAGTTTCTGATCCGTATAGAAGAACTGACTGACTTGACGTTGTTTGTATTGAAAATCCGACCGAATTTTGTTGTTGATGCAGGCTGAGTGACGAGGATGTACAGGTTGGTTTCAGGTTGATGAATGTATTTATCGCCTTCCCGATTCTCGCTCGATTTGGCATCCTCGTCCGTTCCGACTTCCTGTAGTTGAGACAATGCTCCCTAGATAAGTGAGTGAATGAAGTAACCTCTTTCAAATCCCTCTCGTTGATGGTGATTGACGCTCGATGTTGCTGTTGTTGTTGTTGTTGACTGGTTATTTTCATAACCTCCGTCTTGTCTATGTTCACCTGGAGTCCTGTCTTCACAGGCTGCTTCTTCGACCAGTTTGTCGGTTTTCGCTTGTAAGTCTTCGATTTTGTGTGCCATCAAACATAAACCATCAACGCGCGAAATCCAGGTCTTCTAGGTTCATCGCTTCGGTCCAGGATATCCCTGTCTTCTCGCTCGTTTCCCACTGTCTGACGCATAATCCAGTCATTTCACCACAATTAGGAATATCATTGGTGATAATAAGCCAGCACCCTTGTCTGACACCTGTGTGTACTCCAAACGCCTCGCTGAGTTTTCTGTTGTGGATGACTTGACATGTTCCGTTGTCATACAGCTGTTGAATAACTGAAGTAGCACCTACAGTAGCACGTACTGAGACTTCAAAATAGGTTATGAGAGCAATGCTACATTTTATGTTAAAGTAGTACATCTAGGAGACAGCAGCTAGTTGATCCTTGTGATTGGTCTTCACATGCGGTGGAAGCCGCTCCATATTTTCGAATGCGAAATTACTTCTGAGATGAATCTTACTGCCAATAATTACAGCACTGTTAACTGCCGATGGAACACACTATCACTATTGAGTATTTTATGTTAAATAATTTTATTATCTAACCAAGGCCGAAGTCATTCTACTTAGAATCATAAAGAGTTTCGCAAATAACTGGACTTCTGC